GGGGCCTAGGCCCTGCAGCAGCGTACCCTTCCGAACCTGCCAGCGACCTCTCGCTGCGGCAGACGATTCGCAGGGTTGCGCTTGCTTTCCACATGTACAACAAAATGACGCAACACGCAGCGCCGTCGCCAGCAAATATTGCTGCAGCGATGGCCGCAGCGAAATCACTCCTGTGGCGTTGAGCCGCTGTCCGCCGTCTCACGCCTTGCCTCGCTATCTAGGCAGGCTTGCGCGTGGGCTGGGCTGACAGACGTGGCCGCCTCAAGGTACGTTCACTCCTCCTTCTCCTCTTCCTCCTCCTCCTCCTCTTCCTCCTCCTCCTCCTCCTCCTCCCCCTCCTCCTCCTCCTCCTCCCCCCCCCCCCCTCCTCTCCGTGGGCATTTTGGCTCAAGGCCAAATGGCGTTCCATTCGCTGCCTTCGCGGGGTAGGCTCCCAAGCGATCCAGCATCCAGACGTTTGCCGCCACAATCGCGGGCTAGCGGCCGCCCCCCCCATATTCGCCCCCTCGTTGTGCAAGCTGCTGACTACCGTCGCGCTGCGCTGCACGGAGCTCTTCATAACCCTGGTTCGTGAGCCAAGCTGCCACGTTCAGCGTCCGCCTCCTGGACTTGCGCCTCGGCCGCCACGTTCTGGACCAGAATCTCCGCAGGTGCTTGGCTTCCAGCGCCCGCGACCACTACGACCAGCTACTTCGACATCATGCCGGCCGCCTCGTCAGACCGAAGCCAGCCTGCATCAAACGGATGGACGCGAAGACCGCCAGCATCGCCGTGACGAGCCTCGCCGTCCCGAGCGCGGTGGCGACCGTCAATCCCGCCGTGAAGAGCCTCGCCGTGACAGTCGACGTGCAGTTCGCGAACATCTCGGACAGTTTGGCCACACGGGCTTCAGCAGCCAAGGCCCCGCGGGTGCTCCCTCACGCGCTACTGGCCGAAGCTCTGCGAGACCGCCGCCCACCCCAGCGCGATCTTCAGCCAGATCAGGAGGCCGTGCCGCTGCCGAAGCCGCCTCCGTGGCAATGGAAAATGAAGATATGCCACCGCCTGGTCATCCTCCTGCGGGCCCGCTCCTGGGCGCCGCCGACCCCTGGGCCAACAGCAGGTTCGGCTCACAGCTCGCGCGTGACATCGAGATGGCACCGACCTTGCCATCTCAAGAGATTGCCGCGCAACCGCCGCACAAGCCGCACCAGCTCCTGGACCCGCCGCACTTCGTCCTGGGCAGCATCCTACACCTGCTGAGCGACATGAACCCCTTCTTGGAACCCCAGAAGATCTTGACGGCGCCCTCCGTGAACTTATGCAACGACAAGTCGCTACAGCCGCTACTCGTTTTCAAGCCCAATCCGACCAGCGACTCGCCGAATCTCGTGAAAAAATCCAGACATCCCGTTCAACAGCAAGTCACCGCACGAACGCAGAGCTTACGTTCTACACGACGAGGTCGCTCGCACTCGCAGGGGACAAGACCGCCAAGCTGCTGCTCACCAACGCATGCGGCAACAGGTCGACCAGATGCGCGACACTCTCGCCCTCGCCGAAGCCCAGACGCCGATCACCGACCTCAGCCGCCTTGCCGAATGGGAAGGACAGCCCGACACGACGCTCTTCACGATCGGAAGCCAACGCCTCACCGCGCCAGACCTGCTGCTCAACGACCTCCAGGAGTGGATCGCCGCCGCTAACTTACATGCGAGCCATGTCGAACTTCTCGGCGACGAATCTGCTCGCCGCTTCATACTACAAGTCAGATGAGATAAAGCTGTCGCAGTGCCTCGCGCCCTTGCCCTAGCACGTGCCCTCCGAGACGCCGCTGGGAAGTGGAAAAGATTTACAGCGACAGACGTTACAGGACAGCACTGGGACATATGCCTCAGCCCCGACCAGTCGCCCAAGCAGATCCGCACCGAAGTTAAAAACAAAACAAAAAAACTACCCCAGCTCATGCAGCAACGACGCCCAAGAACGAGATGGAGAGCGGTCAGGAACAAAGGCGCAATACACGCTGACTCAATGCACATTGTCAAAACCACTGCCGGAGGTCAAGCCGATCCGCCCACTACCCAGTGGAATGACCAGGACGCCGACCACCCGCAGTTCCAGCACATCGATCGCGGCGACATCATCACTTCCTTCCAGGCGCTCTTTGCTGACAAGGAGGTGGCCACGTGGCGTTCCTAACCATCATTGGGCCCCGTGGAGGGTTGACGACACCACCGAGCCGACCACTATCGCCACGTGGAACGCCAGACCCCCATGTGCTACAAGAGCAAGCGCCGCCGTCGCAAGCAGGCCGCCCTTGCGAAGCATTTGAAGCGCAAGTGCGTCATCGCACTGCAGGAGGTCCACAGCTCGGAGGCTCTGCTCCGCACCTGGGTCGACACGCAGCCGTGCCCCCACGTGCTCTTCTGCTTTGAGTTCTCGCACGACGACGGCGACAACCCGAATGCCACGGGCGGCGCCGCCACGCCCATCCCCTAGTTTACCCCGATGGAGCTCGAGCAGTTGCAGTCGAACCAGCTCCCGCTATTCGCTCATGAAGAACTCGTTCCTGGTCGTGTCCGGCTGGTGACCGTCCGGCACGCCGTCGCGCGTGCCACCTTGGTCGTTACGGATGCGCACAATCACGAGATCGCCGACGCCGACCGCCGCGAGGTCCAGCGGGCTTGGGAGCTGCATCGCACTTGGGCGGAAGCTAACTACCCCTCGTCGACCGTTCTAAGAAGCTGTCGTACAACAGACCCTATTCGGGCCTCGTGATTAACACCCTGGGGCCCAGTTGTTTGACGGACGTGGTGTGCGTCAAGGCCCGCGCGGCCGAGTCGGAGGACCTCTTCCCCGAAGAACGTTTCTTTAACATTGGTAATGATGAGGCTGATCGTTAAGCCAAGCTTGGGGCCGCTGCTCACCCCAGGCCTACGAATGAGCAGGAATATAACTTGCAGTGGCGGTTTAATGCATCCCGCAATGTCCCGCGTCTCGCTGCCAAGGTGCTTGTTTCTTGGCCGCGCATGGACCTGTCAGATGTGCCGTGCATTGCGCCTCCTCGTCCTCCCCGTCCTGGGGCCGAGGCCCCCGAGGGGGCGCATGTCTGGATGTGGGTCAAATCTTTTTGGAGGTGCACTCGTTGCCTCAGATTTCGGCGGCAGGCAGCGCGCCCCTCTGAGGAGGGCTGTGCTGGCGAGTTGCCCCCGCATGCCCGTTCGGCGTCTGGTCGCGGCCACTCTTGCCTAGCCCTGGAGTGCGAGAATGATCAGATATTAATTATATGCACCCGCTGACATGATTGGGCAATTTAAACAGCTCCGCAGAGAGTGTACACGTCCACTCGCAAAGGCAGCGGAGCACTGGTCCATGATAAAGCGGAGCTGGCATCCCAAGGAACGGCTTCGGGTGGAATCGGCCCCCATCAGGGAGTGAGCAGTTGGCTTGGGCAGGGCGCTCGTCAAAAAAACTCCCGCTCGTTCCTCCTCCTCCTCTTCCTCCTCCCCCCCCTCCTCCCCCCCCCCATCCTCCTCGTCCGTGGCCATTTTGGCTCAAGGCCAAAATGGTGACCATTCCACTGCCGATCTGGGGTAGGCTCCCAAAGCTTTCAGTGCTCTTCATATTTGCAGCCACACCCACGGGCGAGCTGCCGCCCACTGCAGCTACACTCAGGGGCGAGCTGCCGCCCATAGCAGCTACACCCAGGGGCGAGCTGCCGCCCATTCCATATCTCTCCCTCGCGTGGCTCGCGAGAGCTCCTTGGGAAGCAGTGGGGCGATGGCCGCCGCGGACCGCGGTGGAGGGGCCGCCCCTGCTGACGGAGGAGCTGCCGCCAACGGCGGCACCAGGCCGCGACGTGCACGCCCTGAAGGTGGACGAGGATCGCCAGCCAGGTTCGCTGTCCAGTACACGGTCTGCAAGCAGTGTCGATACCGATGGACGTGGAAGGGCAAGTCCGAGTGCTTCTATTGTGGCAAGCTGCTGGCCCCATCACCCGCCGAGCACCGCCAGCCTGCTGGGGCGTGGGCAGGAGTCAGCAAGCCACCGCCGTGGAAGGAGCAGCCAGTGGCCGTCGCCCCGACCAGGGACGCTATCATCGCCACGCTCAGCACGCTCCTCAGCGACACCAAGCACGCCGAACTCGTCGGCAACCTCAAGGACGCCCTCCAGCAGCCCGACCAGCCGCAGCCTGCCCGCACGGCAGAGCAGGCGCTCCAGTCGGCGCTGTCAGTCCTCACAGACAGGGAGAAGAAGTTCAAGCAGTCGGTCGACGACGTCGAGGCCGCCAAGCAGTGGTACGACGACGCCGTGGCCAAACAGGAGCAAGCCGCCCTGGACCTCGTCCAGGCACAGAACGCATGCGCCAAGGCGCAAGCGGACCACAGCGCCAAGCTTGCTGGAGCTGCACGCGGAGCACCACAAGCGGGATCCCAGGAAGCCTTCAAGGTCGACAGCTCGATGCGGGACGACCTCCCCATCTACGACGAGGGCACCCGAGCCCAGATGGAACAATGGAAGCAAGAGCTTGACCAGCGCCTGGCCGAGCTCAACAATGGTCAAGAGAAAGCACGGGAACTCCTACGCCAAGCCAAGGAGTCCACTACCAACCCAGCGAAGCGGAAGAAGCCGAGTGGGGAGGAACCAGCTGCTCAGCAACCGCATCCTGAACCCGCTCCCGCTTCACCAGACGAGCACCAGCCAGCGGCCGCACCTGGAGGACAGGCACAACCTGGCACGCCAGGAGGCTCTGCCGCCCCACCTGCCGAGCCACGCCAGCCTGGAGGGGCCGCCCCTGCTACCGACGAGCCCTCCGAGGAGGACCGCAAGGCCGCCGCCGAGCTCATCGCCACCACCACGAGGGCCAGGGAGCTGGCCCACGCAGCTAAGGGCGTGGGCAAGGGCGCCACCATGGCGCCAGCGGCAGCAGCAGGAGCCCCACCGTCGCCGGGGCAGCCGCAAGCGGCCGCAGCGGCTGAGGGGGCAGGGGAACCGCGCCAGGGGGCTCCCCACGGCAGGTGCACGCGCCCCAGAGGCCGAGCGGGCGGCCCAGATCCTGTTCGGCAACATAACGGCTTGGGGGCCACAGGCCGCCAATTTCTGTCGCAACGCAGGCCTCAAGTACCACCTCATAGCGCTGGCGGAGACCCACGTCGACGCGTGCGGCATCACCGAGCAGATTGGAAAGCTCGCCATGGACGGCTGGAAGCTGTCGGCCACGCCCGCGTGGCCACCAACAAATCGGACAAGGGGACCCATGGCGGCGAGTGGATCCTCACGCGCAGGGACGTGGCGGCGACCACGTTCGAGGGCTACAGGGGGTACTACGTCAAGCGCTACAAGAGGCAGCCGTTCGTGGGCTTCACGCCGACAGCCCTCCATTCCAAGAGCGGCAACATAGTCATCATAGCGGCGTACTTGCGCCCTGGCCTACGGGACCAAGGCGCGAACAGGGACATCCTGGTCTCCATCTCCACGTTTGTGGACATGCTCATGGACCCGTGGATCATCCTGGCCGACTGGAACTACGAGCCGCACTGGTGGGACAACAAACCGTGGCTCACGCGATGGAACGGCATTATCCTCACCGACCCGAGCTGCGAGGCGACGTGCGACAAGGGCTCGGGCGCCGCGTGCGACTACGCGATCGCACGAGCGGACATCGCCACGCACGCCGGGATCGAGGCCATCTACGACGTCCCCTGGAAGACCCACTGCGGCATCCAGATCACGGTGGGCACCGCCGAGCCGTGGCAGTACAAAGCTATAAAGGTTCCCAAAGCCCTCCCCGCACGAGCCAGACCTAAGAAGGTCGCGGACCCGAGCAGCAAAGGTCCAAGGCTCGTGCGGAGGCGTTGCGAACCAGGAGGGACAGGCTACCAGAGCACGTGCGCGACGAGTTCGACGCCCTCTACTTCGACCGCGAGACGGCCAAGGAAGACCCCACCCCCTTCGTGATCCCACAGCACTACTGGGACGCCGCTGCCGACGAGGTCAGCAACTTCCCGAAGTTCGGTGGCGCTAAGGTCGGCACCAAGGAGGGCAGGGGACACATCTTCCACAACCATGCGCCGAACCTCGCGGAGAACATCAGCTCGAAGTACGCGCAGTGGGTCGCGACCCTGGAGCTCGCCTTCCTGGAGACGCACGCGGTCCCCGTCGAGGGCAGGGCCAAGTACCAGGGCAGGGCGGAGGGGTACAGGACCACCAAGCAGACGATGGAGGCGTCGCCTGGCAGAGCGTACCTCAAGGACCTTGAGGCTACATGGTGGCAGCACCTCAGTACCCTCGTGGCGAGGTGCTCTGCGCTGGCCACCAACGGCAAGGACCCCAAAGCCCGCCAGCACATCCACAAGACAGTCATGAAGAAGCTGGAAGACCTGGAGAACCCTGAGTTATCCAAGGAGCTCTTCGGCAGCAAGACCGACCCCCAGGAGATCGAAGAGTGGAAGACCCAGCTGGTAAACCTCGAATACTGCGACGCGGCGGACCTGCACCACGTCAGCGCCACCACCATCGAGTGGACCCACAAAGCCATGGCGAGAGCGGCAGGCAGAGCGCGGAAACGCTACCTCGACTGGGCGAAACAGGCGTGGAAGGACGCACCAGGAAAGCTGCACCGCATCGTCACCGACCCCAAGGCGCCGCGCCTGGAGGACAAGCAGCCTCAGAGAACGGTGGGCGACCCGTCCACGCTCATGAACCACTCTGCCGACACCTGGCGCTCCATCTGGGCGTCCGACAGCTACAACGTCAAGCAGATCATCAGCGCGTACGAGAAGGCCATGCGGCTCGCAAAGGAGGACCCCCTCCCGCTAATCGAGCCGCAGCACATACAGGCCATTGCGCGCACCGCCAACCCGAAGAAGGCGAGAGGAGTCGACAACATCGGCCCCATCGACATCCAGAGGCCCCCCGAGAAAGGGACCCAGGAGCTCGCCGAGATCTACAACCAGGTGGAGGCCAACGGGCTGTGGCCTCAGCAGCTTTGCGCCACCATTGGGGCCGTGGCCCCCAAGCCCGCAGGTGGAGAGAGAATCTTGGGCATGCTCCCCACAATCCCCAAGACGTGGGCCAAGGTCCGCTCCAGCGTAACCGACGAGTGGTCCAGTGAGCTCGGGGAGTTCTGGGACACCGCCATCAAAGGATCCAGCGCCTTAAGGGCAGCGCTAGCCAGGGCGCTACTTGACGAGACGGCGGCGACCTTCGGCGTGGCCTTCGCGACCTTGCTGATGGACGTAGAGAAGTTCTACGACTCGGTCTGCTGCGAGGCCCTCTTCGAAGCCGCGATCGGGGTCAATTTCCCCCCGATTGCCGTGGCGATGGAGGTGCAGCTCTACATGGCGCCCAGGTACTTGCGGATGCACGGCTGGGTCAGCGACATCATAGACGCCGGGATGTCCATAGCCGCGGGCAGTTGCAATGGCGGTAAGCTCGCCAAGGTATACCTGGGGCCGATCTTGCAGAGGGCCCACCCCAACCACACGCACGCTGACCTGTGGACGTTCGTGGACGACACGGTCGCGAGGACAGGGGGCCAAACCAAGCAGGCCATCGGAGATCTCATCAGGGTTGGCGCCGACCGATTCGGAGGAATGACGGGCGCGGGGCTCAGGGCCTCCCCCAAGACCACCGTAGTCGCCTCCAGCCAGACGATCGCCTACGCAGTGCACGACGGTCTCAAGAAGAAGGGCTACCACGTCAAGGTGGCCAACAGCGCGGTCGACCTTGGCATCGACGTGGGAGGCGCCAAGAGACGGGTTGCCGCCAAGGCAATCAAGAGGGCCAGGGCCGCGAGGGGGCGCACTCACCGCATCGTGGCCGAGGTCAGGAAGCACGTCTCCCTAGCCAAGATCGCGAAGGGCTTGTGGAACACGGGATTCAGGCCGCAGGGGACCTACGGCCACCAGATCATGGGCCTCGCCCCAGCGGCCATCCTCGACCAGAGGCGCCAGGCCGTGCAGGCCACGGCGGGGAAGGTCCCTGGCCGCTGCCTCTCCACAGCCCTCGCCGTCGTCATGGGGAAGAAGGACCCCGCGATCGAGCTCAGGCGCCAGTCAATCGCCGAGTGGCTCAACTTCTGGATGCAGTACCCAGAACATCACAGTCGGGTCACGAAGGCGTGGAAGCGGATATACGACAAGTCGATCAAGTACGGCAACAAGAAGTGGAGGAAGGTCAAGGGGCCCATCTCCGCCATCCAGGCCATTCTCCTGGACGCAGGATGGACCTGCCCGACGCCGACGGAGTGGTCGCGACGTCCGTGGGCAGGCGAGACCTACTCGCAGGAGTGGCAGCTACCCCACGGTGACCAGGCCGACTGGGGGGACAAGCGCAACGACGTGGACCCCGCGGAGTTCGTCCACGAGTTCTGCCTCTCCCTCGAGAAGAGCCTGTGGAGGGATGCTGCCAAACACCCACACGGAAAAGGACTGCAACGAGGGGGGCCCAGACGTCCACATAGTTGCCAACGAGATGGAGAAGTTCACGAGGAAGGGCCAGCACGACCAGGCGGCCCTCAACCTCTGCGTGGTCGCGGGGGCGCAATGGCCCAGAAGCCGACTCATCGAGACGGGGTACAACGCCACTCCAACGTGTCCCAGGTGCGGTGGGGCCGACGAGACGCTCATGCACAGGGTCTGGTTGTGCCCGTGCAACCGCGACCACGAGGACTACACGGATTCTGACGCCCTCATGCCCTCTGCCTTGGCGGGAGCAGAGGTTGCCCCCGCATATTGGCTCCGCGGCCTGCCTGCGTGCGATGACACGCACCCGCTCTTTGCATCCTTGGGAGGGGACGGCGGGTGGAGCTGGGTTGGGCGGGGGTGGGAGGATTGCGCCAGCAGCGACGGCACCCTCACCCTCTTCGGGGACGGCTCGGGAGGTCAGTACAGTGATGACCCACGACGCCGAAGAGTGGGGACCGCCCGTGCCGCCATGAAGTGCCTCTTCGGGGAGTGGGTCTTCTGGGGAGGCATCATTTCGGGCCTCGCGGGCCCCTTTCAGACTGTGCCTCGTGCTGAGCTGCTGGCTTTCGCGCTTGCCCTAGAGCACTGGGACGGTGATCTCTGCTTCATCACAGACCACCTCCCGTTATATGACGGATGGCGGTCGAATCGACACTTGCGCCCCCGCGATGGCGCCAATCCGGATTTGTGGGCACGTATTGCTAAAGCAATACGCGCACGTGGTAGTAGGCAGCTCTCGGTGATCTGGGTGCCCTCACACAGCGAGGAGTCATCTGGCCTCGCCTCTGACCCTGTGCGCTACTTTCACATCGTTGGTAATGCGACGGCCGATGCATGGGCTGGGGTAGCGGCCCAACGGTCCTACGAGGAAGCGCTCGTGGGACAGGCCCCTCCCACGGACCTGCACGATGCACAGTGCACCCTCATCCGCAGGAGGGCGCGCCGAGCCCTAGCTGACACGCTTGCAGTCGACCCCTGGGTGGCGGAGCGACCCTCACGGGCCAAAGGCCCGCGTCTCACCAAGCTGCAGCTAGCCATGCGATCGAGCCAGCACGCCTTTGAGCTCAGAGCGGGCAAGTATCTCTGCTCGCGGTGCGGGCTCACCACCGACGAGTGTAAAGTACGCCAGGCCTGCGCCACGCCGTGCACCCACCAGACCCTCCTTCCGTCCGCCAGCGACCAGATAGCGCCAGTACAGGGCACCATCACCATCGCTGGCCGCGAGCTGCACGCCAGCCATAAGCTTCATTTCATGCAGAAGTACCGCCTGTATTTTGATCGCGGGTGCGGCAAGACGGCCACTGAAGACCCACGCCACCTCGCCGCACCCTGCGCAGGCGTCGTTTCGAAGAAAGGGCGAGAGAACCTCGCCAAGATTGACAAGGGAGAATTCACCCGCGCCCACGCGGGGCGCGATGGCCTCACCAAATTTTTGCGAGCAGCTACCCACGGCATAGCCGTGGAAGAAATTTCAGCTGCCGCGGCGCCTGCAGCTGCAGTCGCCACTTCTAGCCAGGGCTAGGATGCGTTTGGCATCGCCCGAACTTCGCACCTGGGTGCGCTCGGTCTGTTCCTCTGTTCCTCTGTTCCCCCTCCTCCTCGTCCTCCTCCTCCTGCACTTCCTCCTCCTCCTCCTCCTCCTCCTCCTCCTCCTCCTCCTCCTTCTCATCCTCCTCCTCCTGCTCCTCCGCCGTTTCCTTCTCAT